TGCCACCTGCCCACCCCCCATGGGTTACACTGGCCCTGCCCACCCCACCTGCAGGTCAAATCCGCCCTGCCCACCACACCCATGAGTTGTACCTGCCCTCCCACCCCATCCATGGGTCACACCTGCCCCACCCCTCATGGATCACGCCATGGATCTCCCCCTGTCATCCAGCAGACTTCCAATCCCCCCCAGCCTGCTGGACCTCCAACCCCCTAGCTAGCCCCTCCATTCTGACTTACCTGATATCAGGCAGCCATTATTAGCTGATTTAACCTCCCCTGAATGCCCTGAATGTCTGTTCTTAACCATGGTGCACCACATTGGAACTACAGCTATATAAGAGTTTAATTAAATGTTATCTTTTATGCAGTAGCATTGCCGTTTTAGCATAGTTAATATGAACTAAAGTAAATTATAATTAGAATACTGATGGAAAGCAAAGAAATGTGTAATATTGCATTCAAGACAATTTAATTATTATACATTGTAGGATAGAATATGAATTGTTGCTGCCAGAGCCAAGCAAGTGTCATGTCTGCCCCCCCACCCCCCACCCTTGGCTCACACCTGCCTTCCCCACCAACCCACACAAATATATACACACTGTTATGCACACACATATATTACACTAGATATGTATATGTATATCTCTATATACATACACACACATGTTAATGACAGCTATAGTCTAGATAATAATGTGCATACTGATGCTATATGAATTTTATGTTTTCATTTAATCCATTCATTTTATCCATTCTTATTAAAAAATTAGGGGACTGTGGCGTCAACACCTAAAAAGTCAAATGGGTCACTAACTGGCTGGAGGGCCGCACCCAGAGAGTGGTGGTGGACAGATCTTATTCAACCTGGAGGGATGTGGGCAGTGGGGTCCCCCAGGGCTCGGTCCTCAGACCCGCGCTGTTCAACATCTTCATCAGTGACTTGGATGAGGGGGTAAAAAGCACCCTATTCAAATTTGCCGATGACACTAAGATGTGGGGGGAAGTGGGCATGCTAGAAGGGAGGAATAGGCTACAATCAAACCTAGACAGGTTACAGGGGTAGGTAGATGAGAACAGGATGGGTTTCAACACTGAGAAGTGCAAGGTGCTGCACCTGGGGAGGAAGAACCAGCAGCATACCTACAGGCTGGGGAACTCCCTTCTTGTCAGCAGAGGCAGAAAAGGACCTTGGAATCATTATTGATGCCAAAATGAACATGGGCCGACAGTGTGGCGACTCAATCAGGAAGGCCAACCATACCTTATCATGCATCCACATATGCATCTCAGGCAGGTCCAAGGAGGTGATCCTCCCCCTCTATGCGACACTGGTCAGGCCGCAGTTGGAGTACTGCATCCAGTTCTGGGCGCCATACTTCAGGAAGGACGTGGACAGCATTGAGAGGGTCCAGAGGAGGGCTACCCACATGATCAGGGGGCAGCAGGGCAGGCCCTACGACGAAAGGCTGAGGGACCTGAACCTGTTCAGCCTCCACAAGAGAAGGCTGAGGGGGGACCTAGTGGCTGTTTACAGACTAGTCAGTGGGGACCAGCAGGCATTGGGGGAGTCTCTGTTCCCCCGAGCGCTACCAGGAGTGACTAGAAATAACAGTCACAAGCTGGCTGAGGGTAGATTCAAACTAGACATCAGGAAGCGGTACTTCACTGTCGGGGAAGCTAGGATCTGGAACCAACTTCCAAGAGAAGTGGTGTTGGCTCCTACCCTGGGGGTCTTTAAATGGAGGCTAGATGAACACCTTGCTGGAGTCATTTGACCCTGGCGCTCTTTCCTGCCACAGCAGGGGGTCGGACTTGATGATCTCTCAAGGTCCCTTCCGACCCTACAAACTGTGGAACTATGAAACTATTAATGCCAAAAGTAAATCTGTAAGCATTAATTTTTAATTTGTGGAGCCCAGTTTTTGTACTCTTCAATCTTTTCTCCCCACTCAGTGAAGCTGTTTCTCAAAGTATGTCTTTAAGAAATTATAATTACCCCTGTAGAGCACAATGAAACTTCTGTATTGTCAGCAAGTTTATCAAAAAGTAATCACATTGCTTACAATGGAATATGATCATGTTGTGAAACGCAGACCACATTTCTGCTGGAATGTGATGGGGAAAAGAGACTGTGACTTTAGACTATTGACAAAAGATCTAAGCTGAATTTTGAGAATTAATTTTGACATTGTTTTAGAAAAAATAATCTTCTAATTTACTTTATATATTACTACATTCTGTCTTAAATATTAATACAAGGAATTTGTATATGAGAGACTGACCATATTATAGCAAAAGGTTATGGATAAATTGTAAAGAAAATGATGAAGAAGCGTTTTTTTAATGAACTGTATTTTATTAAAATAGTTTGGAAAAAATATGATATAAAAAAGGCTTTGGGTTACATTACAAAAAGAAAATAAATCCAAGCATTTAAAAGTATTTAAAATGTGGTTATGGCACATTCTAATACAACAGATCTTTTACTTTTGTGTAGATAGTTATATTTGCTTATTTGCTGATCAGATTAAGGCCATGATCAAGCACAAGCTATGCATTTACACATCCCAGTCTCACAAGGGAAATGAATGTTAGTCAGTCAGTAAGCAATAATGTATGGTATACATTTAATAGTCAATGCTCCCTTAGGTAAACTGAGGCTATGGACAAGTGTTACTTTTGTGCCAGGAAAAGCACCTTACTCCCAGCACAAAAACTTAGCATATGCAGGTTCAAGGCATTTTTCAATGAAGAGAACTGGCTTTTTGCCAAAAAATTAAAGCATTTCCTATCACAAAGATCTCGCATCTCTCATGCCAGCTTGAGTGCCTGTATGCCTCTCTTGGGTCCTGAGGACCCCATATCCCATTGTCCTATGCTTTTCCTCACCACCCAGAACTGGCTTTTTGATAATCTGCATAGTGGCAAATTGCCAAGGAGCCACGTTGGAACCCTGCTGCTGCTGCTTGAACACTCCAAAAGAGTCCATGGACTGTTCAGGCAGTGTCACCAATGCACTCCCCTTCCCTGCCCAACTGAGCAGATGCAGGGCGGGGAGCA